ACTTTTTTTACGCAGCGAAAATTTATAATTAAGACTTTCTGGACTAAGAAAGTAAAAACAACGCATTTTTAAAGAGATCTATTATATATATCACAGTCGGGCTTTGAATATTACGAATTAATGAATATTATGAATTCAACAATAGAAATGTTAGCAAGTATATAGTAGTATTCAGAATGCTGTTGTATAATAAAAAATAAATTAAATTATATTTAATCATTTAGTAGAACCAATATGCATACAATATTTTTACATAATGTAATTAAAAGGAGGAAGGAAATCAAGTGGATTTAAAAATTTCGCGAACTGAATTACAAAATTTCAATTTTTTGAGCCATGTAAAGTCGGCTGTAAATAACACCTAATAAAGATATTTTTTCAATCTGTATAAAATTTTAATTTACTCGAAATAAAACTTTTTTCAGCAATTTTCTCATTAAAGAATTTATGAACATTATTCTAAGAGTCCTGGTTTCATAATAAGCATTTTTGAATTATTTAATTCCCTCAATTTCGTGAACTGAAAATTATAAATCGAATTATGAATCTTTGAACGGTCGTATAGTTAAAATATGTATGTATATAGCATTGTTGTACTATGATTAATTTTGGTTTCATAATTTGAAGTCTTATTTGAATAATCAAATTATAACGTGCTAAAAGAGTCATCTAACAAAAGTTCCGTTTTTATTGTAAATGTTATCAATAATTTTAAACTTTAATTGCCTTTATATGAGTGTCGTTAAAATGTTCCTAGCATAGTTTCTGTTGCATGCTAAATAATTGTACTGTTATAATTTTAAAACTTATTTTTTTCTTTAAAATTGCAATTAGTTATTAGGAAAGGAATTTTAGGCCAGTCCTATTGAATGTTAAATTTTTTGAATTTTCGATGTCTTTAAAATTAGTGGCATTAGTATAAGAATATTATAATATATTTTTTATTGTTGCTGTCAGATTCTAAAGGTTATAAATTACTTATAGTTTAAATTTAGCTATATTTTAAATGTATATAATGTCAGAAAAGATATTACCCTCTAGTATTACATAAAAATAATAATTGGAGTTTTTTAATTTTAAAATTACTTGTTTTATCATGTCCATACTCATTGCGAGAACAATTTTCGAACAAATCTTATTATATTTAAACTATTTTGTATATTTGATAATTTTAAAAATTAATTGCATTAATCAGTGATAAAAATCATAGGAAAAGTTCATAAACTGTAATAAATGATATAAAAAATTAATAATCTGACATTTTATTTCTTTCAAAATTGTAATTGAGCTGTTATATACGCACCAGTCGCGTAACACTATTATATACTTTTAGTAATTTTTAAGTACTAAGCTATAGAACAAATTTGAAAATATTCTTATACAAAACATATAGCATATAGTTGTTTGTAATATTTATCAGAAAAAAATATAGAAAAGAAGTATAATTTACCTACAAAGTTGTTTTAAGTAAGAAATACGCTAAAGGGGAAGCTAACATTAAGGGGACCAAACTTCTAACCAAACTATTGGTACCATATTTTCCAGAAGCTGCTACCTCTTTTATTTTTAGGTTCAAGAATCAGAATTTGTTTACGAAAGCATATGTTTATTCAAAGAAAGTATTTTTTAATAACTGATTTCGTAAACTTAAAATATCGTTTGCACTCATTAATTATCATATTTAACATATTAGCCACGCCCTCAAACAACTAATATTGAGTTTTAGTGTGTGAAACTCCGATCATTAAATCAAAAGTAATTCTGGGAACTCCATCTAATATTTTGCGCACTGTACATTAAAGCTATAAATAGGTATTGTAATACAAAAAAATTGTTTTTTTTTAAACCCATATGTCTTATATAATATTTAAACTTTCAAGTACATTTATAATAAAATAAAATTAAACAATTTGAATGAACTTTATTAGATTAAAAGATAAACAATTTGGTTGATTTCTGTATCCTTTCCTTAAACTCAAGATTAAATAAAAAATAATAATAAAAACGAATTTCACTCAATAATGCTTAGTTTTTAAAAAGTAAATTATTTTTGAATTGTTAAGAACTTAAATTTATTCAAATTAAGGTAAAACTCAACTGTTTTACTCAATAACAATTATTTGCAAATTAATCAATTTTGCAAGTTCGAGTATCTTTCCTATAACTTAAATAAAAAAAAAAAATAATGTTATCGTATAACGAAAGCAGCTTTATAATCTTCTATGGAAAAATTATATGTCAAGTGGCATATAATTAAGTTTTAAAAAAAATTCAAATAATTTTCAAATATTAAGTTTTTAAAAAGTTTCAACTTCGTTAGTGAAACATTTTAAACATATTTTACCTTAGATTATGATAAAATATTGTTTAAAAGATCGTTTGTAAATTTCAGTAATATATATAAATTTTAGTTAAGTATTGTGATTATTATTTATTTTGGTGTATAATGTAGATAAATACTATTAAAATCATTTTTACAAAAAACAATTAAGGAAATATTTAATAAAATAAAAGGAAACATGTCAGCATCATAAAACTTTTATTTCAATAAATACTAAACAAACGTATTTATACAAATGAAAAAAAAATTATTATTTTCGTTGAACAAGCATGAATATGGTTTATATTACAGTATTTGCAGTTTGCAAAACAAACAATTACAAGTGTGAAAGACATGAAACAAAATCCAAAAAGATTTATATTTTGTTTTTAATATTTCAACTCCTACCACCTGTTTTCCATTTAATATTAAACCTCAATTAAATTATATTTTTTTAAAATATGCTGTTTTTGAATTTCATAGGAATTTCAAACTTAAATTATATTTTAATTAGAAAACAAACTACGCTTTCAACGAAATTACTCGAAAGCAGTCCCAGTTCTTTAATTTGATGATAAATATTAATGTTTTAAAATGTAACAAATATTAATGACTGATATTATACGATTTATTTATTTACTTATTTATTGAATTGCCCACCTACTTATAGAATAAAATCATAAAAATAATTTAGTCTAAAAATTAATGTCTGAAATAAATAACTGATAATATTTTTACAATCAAAATCTTACTTATTTGGAATTTGTATAACTTTATTATCCCTTCTCCAAAATAATGAAAAATTTATAAAAAGTAATAAGTTCTAATTCTTTTAAAAAATTAATTAAACATAAGTTCTATGGCAGCTATAAAAAGATTTAAATAAAAAATTAATGTAAATAAAAAACAACTGAGATACGAAACAAAGTATGTTTGAATTACATAAATGATGATGATATTTTCGCAGTCAAAATCTTACTTATTTATATTTTTATCACTTTATTACTACTTCACCGAAATAGTGAAAAATTTCTAAAAAATAATAAGTTTCAATTATTTAAAAAAAATTGGTGAAACATTAATTTTTGCAGCTATAAAAAATTTTAAATTACAAATTTATGTAAATTAAAATCTACTCAGACACAAACAAAGTATAACTTATTTGCATCATTAAATTTTTAAAAATTTAAATTCAAATCTAAATGTTTGTTATTTTAAATGATAATATTTACTTCAAAAATAATCATTAATTATATACAATGATCAATTATTAAACTGCGACTTACTTATAGAAAAAAATTTTAATCTCTTTTTTAAATGTTTGCTTGAGCAAAAATTAATTTTAAAATTCAAATAGGAACCATATCAACCATAGAAATAAAATAATCCAAATTCTTCAACTTTAATATGATAAAATATACAAATAAATTTGGAAATATAAAAAAAAAATTATTCAAATTAGATAATCTTCCATTAAAAATTAGTGCTTTAGAATAAATACAAGTGAAATAAATATTTTGCTATATTTTATTCAATAAACATTTAATTTTGATTTTGAGTAAGATTGAAAAATACAACTAATACACTATGATAGTAAAGCACCTGCATAAAGAAGGAAGAGAAAAAATACTTTTGCGAAAACAATTTGATTTGGCATTTAAAATCCATCAAATATACAATTCTTATAATAATACTTGTATATAATTTTGCACCAAATTTATCTCTTTGCAAATCATATGCATTTAAAATATGCTTTAATTCAATATTTTAACCCTAAACATTTGTCGACATTTTTGTACATTTGTTTAGTGATTTGTTATTAACTTGACTAGTTGTTACCCATCCAATTTTGAAGCGATATCTAGATATTGCTGTGCCTTTAAAATCATGAGGTAAGTTTTAGTGCAGCACCGGTTACATTTATAAAGGAATAAATTAATTTATAAACAAAAATTACAACTTTGTACAAAATAATGCATTATCTTACATTGTTTACAAATATCTAAAGTAACATTCATCGAACTTACACACATCAATGTAGACTTTCGCCTACACCTTGAGAATGTACAAAACATTCAGTACAGAAGTAATGCAAATAAATGTTAAATTGGTTGTATCAGCCTTTGGTAAATACTCAGGAAAATGTAAATATAGTTTGTTAATAGCTTCTACAGAAAAATACATTTTGAAAGACTTGAAGAAAAAAACTGTTAACAATTTTTTTTTTATATATACCTAATGTTTGCTAATATAACATAATACTTGTGAAAAATACTCTACATTCGAAAAAAAAATATTTAGAATATTTTATAAAAATTTTTGCAATTTTATAAATAAATCTGACTAGATATATTTAAAACCTAAGAGTTTCAAAGTTTATTTATAATGAAAAATTTCATAAAAAAATCTTTGGTGATTTTTTTTCTTCTAAATAACTGTTTTCTTGCGTAATATTAAAAATATTTAAATTGACTAAAAAATTAGTTGGGATTATAATTGACTAAAATAAGAGACTAAAGAAATATTTTAAATTTCTCTCAAGTAAATCATACTTAAATACTTAAAAGTAATTAATCAACGTCAACAAAACTCTTTAATTGAATTATTTTGAAAGAAAACGTTTCTTGTGAAATTTTCTATATTTTCTCAAAAATACCTAAAAAGTTTATTCTTTATTATTTTTTCTTTTAAATTTTTAAAATGTAATCATCCACTTTTCAAAAACTCATATAATTTTCCTTTTATTTTACAAGTTAACCTCTCATAAGTTTTCTGAGAGCTTTGAATTTAAACTAAAATTAAATCAGAGTTCATGTAATGTACGAATTTTATTTTGAAATAAGTACCGTGGTACCAACTTTCCAAACTAGTTACCAGCAATCAGAAGTACAATCACAGAAATATGTACAATTAACATTCACAAAATTTAAATTAGCATAATTTTAAAGTGTATATACTTAATTCTATATAGGGATGTAGTTTTAGCAATATTATGCGAGTATTAAATAAAAAAAAGTAACACTTAGAAAAAAATTAATTATTATTGAAATTTAATTAATTATTAAATTAATTGTTTAATTTAATTAACTATTAAAATTAAATTAGAAATTATACAACATAGAAATTTCCCTCATCATTATAAAATGATAACATTAAATTAATTACTGAGAATCATTGCTCAAGTTTTTATTTAAATTAGAATTATCACTTATTGCTTGATCATCCTGCATTTCAACCTATAAATAATTTTGTTCGCAGCATTTTAGGTTCGAGTTAAGCTTGAGAATAGTTTGTTTGATGGGGAAATTATTTGTTTCTATCAAATCCTTTAGTTTTTCATGTATTGTTTTCAAAATAAATTGCGGATTAGAAAGAAAAATTATCGTAGTTTAGTTACAAGTTTGAAAAATTTAATTATTCTTGGCAGCTATATTTTAAGCAGATTACAGAAATTCTCAAAAACCGAAATTTCGATCACTCAAACGTAACTATTTAATAGTAATAATTACAAATAAACGGTAATAGTTGGCACCTCAGCATGTAATCTTCAAAAAAATATGACGGAAAAAAAACTAAAAGATAAGAGTTCATAAACAGTACAAAATTTAACAGTAACAATAGCAATGTACGTTTCACTGATGAAATTTGCTTGTACTTAATTTTAAAATGCTTCTGATTTTAAACCCTTAAAATTTAAGTTTCCCTACAAGCAACTCATTACAAAACACTCTCAAAACAATACGTAACATTTTCATCACAACTAACATAGCTTTTTTGTTAATTTTTATAAAACATCAAGGTCTTTAAAATTACACATAATAATTGATATCTTGACTAGCAGCATAATAGAGCACAACACACAATCAACAATCGGTAATTGAATTTAACAATAAAGTCTTTTATAAAGTAGTCGCAGTTATTTATGTAGTCCATCAATCCAACACAATTTGTAGCAAATCAGTTTGGATTTATATATCACGCTTTAATCATCAACATTATGATTGACTCGTTTTTTAAACAAGTTTGCTACAATGTTTGAGCTTCAGGTCTATATTCCTTTGAAGATCTGAAATATGACTCCTCTATATCTTTTATTACGATCAATATGTTTTCTTTGAGCATGAAGTTGGTTTATATTCTCAACGTTGTGAGCTGCAATTTTGAAAATAACTAAGAACGATGCCTGATTATTATCACTTTTGGATATAAAACGTTTTCTACAATTTTTTTTTTCCTTTTTTTTTCCAAATAAAAAATAGGAGTAAAACATCCAGCCTGTTTGATCTTATTTTGGCTGTGCTGTGGTATTTAATTTCAAATCAGAATCACTAGTCAAATAAATTCAAAAATCAATTTATTATTTACCTAAAATAAATGTTGCTTATTATTCCGTTTTCGGCTAAAATCATTTTATGATGATTAAGGCTTTTGTACAGCAAAAATATGATTAGTTATTTCAAAATTATAGCTCTCTTTCCTTTGCGCTACAACTTCAAGAGTATTCTCAAATTTTCAATTGCTCGAATCGTTTAAATTTTCTTTAGTGGGAGCTGTAATGCCCAAATTTGGAAATCGAGTGTCAATTTTTAGCTTCTGTTTTCGGCCCGTCGACTGTCCTTGCAGGTGGGCTTTGTTTACCGACAGGTGGCGTTGACGACGGAGACGCATGGTTACTAGATGAAGATGTGCCACATGCTCTGTGGTGATTTTCCCAGTCTTTGTGTTGGCAAAATGCGCCACAATACCGTGCTATATTGCAACCAGAACAAGTTTCATTTGCTTTCCTTCCACAATTCCAGCAACTCTGAAAAACAAAGTTGGCATTGAAATTTCAATAAAATGATAGTCATATATCTAAATTGTACATGAATCATTGATGATTCATGCATAAATCATGCATGCTGAATCATGTATGAATCGTATATAAATCAATTTTTTATATTTAATACTAAATTGTACATGAATCATTGATGATTCATGTATAAATCATGTATGAATCATATATAAATCAATTTTTTTATATTTAATACTTATGTAAGGTTGTTCTAAAAGATTGTAACGGTAACATTAGTTTAGTAATGGTATCATCGGTTTAGTAAGGTTAGTAATGGTAACATTAGCAAGTTTAAATGTATTAGTTTACATTTGAACCTGCTATCTTCTCTGCATACAAACTCATATCTCCCAAACATATTTAATAGGAAAACGGTGCATTGAAGAAAAGTATTTCTCCCAATTTTGACGGTTAGCAAAAGATTTTATTTATTTTTCTTTAATATCTTTTATAGTTAAATTTAATCTGTTAAGCAATAAGAAGTATTTGTTACGTCTAATAGATTTATGGGAAACAATTTAAAAACTTTAATTCGGTTTATTAAAAATATTGTGCTTTTTAGCTTAGGTTGCATATGTAGTTTATCATGTTTGAAATGTGCAGCATATAAAAAGAATTTTTTTTTTGTATATTTAGTTTGTAAATCGCTTCATCCATGCTTTTTTTTAAATTTAAGTGTTATTTAAGTGTCAGTGATAATTTAAATGTCAGTGATAAACTGAGAATAAGGCAGTGATTTTGATAATTTTCATATAGATTGATAAATGTCACCAAATTGGCGATTTTTAATAACATTTAAAGTATTTAAGTTATTTGTCCATTCTAAAGCCCAGATACTTCTTAGCGGCAAGATTATACATCTAGTTCAAAAGCATCGCATTGCTTCAAGTGGAAGGCACTTTTTCTTTCCCTTGGCGACAGATCTTCGAAAAACAGCGTTAAAGGGGAAAAATAGGGGATAAAGTGATTTCTTTTTTACCTCCGTTGATTCATCTTGATGATTGATAGCTGCCATGGTTTCCTCCGCCGCTTGTCGTCGTGCTTCCGAAAGCATACGTTCAATCTTCGCTCTCTCAGCAGCCAGCAGTTCAGTTGCTTTACTCTCTGCTGCGCTCACTGCTTTTTGAAGTTCAGCAACCGCTTGACGTTTCACCTCGTGCACAGCATCTTCTGGTAAGGGCAATAAAGAGGACGTTCGCTGGCCTACAATTCCTTCAGCTGCAATGATGTGCATGATTAGATTATCGGATGAATGGTAAATGTGCTATTAGTAACAAGCACACTTCTATTAATGAACATTAGGTATTTGCAAAAACTTTAATTCATAATATAAAAATACACTTTAATATGATTATTTTAAACTCCTTTTTAGAATACATAGAGATAAAACTTATTTGTATTAAAAGGCACGATACCATCTGGCAGTAAGTATGTAAAAACGGGCTAGTTAACAACAAAATCAAAAGATATTGGCAACTGAGAAATAACGGTAGGTGGTTACACATGGTAAAGGGGTTGGACAGTGGTAGGAATTTTGACGTGTTCCTTTTGACATTAAGCAATAGGAATGTTCCATTAAAGTTCACATGATTTTAAATTCAAATCTGTCAACTAAATTGCTTTTATGCAATACAAGAAATGCCACAATCAATATTACAATTGAAATATTTTGAGTTTTATAGTGCCATAGATTGAGCTATATTTGGATGGGTTGTTTTTATTTCAATGTACATTTAGATCAGTTTGATTTTAAAAAAAAAAAAAAACAGAAAAAGAAAAATTCCTTAATAAAAAAAAGCTTTGAAAGTTTGCTATTTGTTAAAAATTTTAAAAACTAAATGATAAATATTTTCAGATTAACAAACTTATACAAAAATTTGAATTTACAAAGCTATCTGCGAATTCTGTAAAACATATGGCATAATTCTCACATAGAATCTTAGATGCACACAACAAAAAAGTCCTGATATAAATCAAAAAATCATTTCATGTTTTACACAATCAATTATTAAATTTCATTGAAAGAACATGACATTATACAAGTTTTAGGAAAATGAGCATAATCATTTTATTTAAAACAGTTTTACTTTATGAATTCTAGAATGATTGCAAAGGCTACTCTCTAAGTAATCAAGTTTGTTTCTTTGCATGAATGCATTACAAATGGATAGGTACAAAGCGGAAAAAAACACAAGACCCGGAATAACTTCTTCTAATGATCTGATTTTCACGTAACTGGATTCATTCTTAATGATTTAAGGGGGGTGACTTCAATTTTACTAATTATTTAGAACAGCCAATATTTTAAATAACAAAATCAGAACAAAAAGTACTTTCTCTTAATAAGCATATTTTTTTTACCCTTAAAACATAGGAGTAGGGTAGCCGCAGACTGGAAAATATTATCCCAATAGTCAGGAGAGAGATCATAAGCGTAGACCCCTTATTGTCGATTTCGTTTTTTTTTTTTTTTTTTTTTTTTTTTTTTTTTTTTTGCGATTTTCGCTCTATCTCGAGAACTTTTTAAGAAAATTACGAAAAATTTTGCACACAATTATAAAATCCCTTTTTTCAAAGATAGTTCTATGTAAAAAAATAAGGGAAAATAATGAATATTTACTAAAAGTTATGTTTCAATTCATGTCATGATTCCTTAATGTTAATTTAATTTTTGCTTTTGCTAGTTAATTATTATGAATAATATTCATAATTATCCTATGCATTCTTCAGAATAATAAGATACAACAACCAGGGATCCGTCCAGACATTTTATGAAAGGTCCGTTTTTGTAAAATTGTGAAAAAATTACTCGTAATTTGTGAATATAAAATAAACGTTAAGTCACATTCTTTCAACCAGGGTCCGCTTTTGTGAATTTGTGCAAATAGGGTCCGTTATTGCAAAAAAACTTTTCAATGAGTTTTTCGATTGTAAAGACATACAAGATTATGCTCAACACTGCAAAATTATAATCAAAAGAATTACATTTTAAAAAATAAACAGCAATTGCAGTTACTGAATTAGCGATGCAACGTGCAAATATTTGGTATTTAGCCTATACTGCTGAACGCAGAATATTCATTTCGGACGAATAAAGAAAGAAGCGTCTGCCGAAGACAAAATTTAGTTCGTTCACATCTGTCTTTCTCCCCCCCCCCCTTCCTGGGAAGGGCTTATTCGATTAACAAAACAATAATGAAGATAAACAAATTCGTGAAGGGTCCGATTAAAAGATAAAATTACTTTGTGAAGGGTCCGTTTTTATGAAAAGATATTTTGTGAAGGGTCCGTTAACGGACCCAAATTTCTTCTAAACAGACCCCTGACAACATTAAACAAAATCAAATCATCAAACATAATCTCCAGCCAGTTAATTATTATGAGCAATAATTAATTATATAACTAACCTCATAAAAAGGAAAACATATTATAACAATAAGTACACCGTCCTTACCAGGCCTTCTCCTGACATCTTCATTTGATTTGTAGTGTGGCAATATGTCCGCCGCTCTCTTTTTGATATCAAATTCAGTTCCGTCAATATGCCTGCTCCTCCATAGGGACACATCCTGCCTCTCAGAGTAACTTCGGTGTTGTAATATTGCAAGCGCCCGTTTTGTTTTTTCAACCATCCCCAGTATACAGTTTAGCATCTAAAAAAGGATCGAATGCCATTTTGATTATTGAAATGAAAATATATTTCGTTATTGATCTAGACACAAGTTATAACAGAGGTTAAATACATTAAATAGCAAATATTTATAGTTGCAGTAAAAATTACATTCAATAATTACATTAAACATATAAAAAGATGAAACAGATAAACTTAAAATTGTGGGCTGTTTTGAATAGACCTTCAATAGAGATTTTAAGAATTGTTTTAAAAATTATGTCAAAGGAAAACTATCGACAGATGTCGTAAATTGATATTTAAGTTAAGAAAAAAAACATTTCCTAGCTCCACCTAAGTATTTGAGTCAGAAAGAACAAATAGTGGATTAAAATAATCAAAAACCAGATTGGATGAATCCTAAAATGTGAAGATCTGATTATTAGATCAAAAGACATTTAGGATGGGCCATTTTTTATTTTGCTCACTTCACAAAATCACGATTAAATTGTATTTTGATAGAATTCTATATTTTCAAAAAAAATTATTATTTGTCTAACATGATTCTTTATTAAAACAGCTTTGATAAATTTATAAATCATCAACATTTTCGAGCTCCCATGAATAACCAATTCCTCACTTGGTGTTAATCATCTTCTTCAAGCTAAATATTCTATTAATACTACTCCAAAATTTTCAAACTATATTCCATACTTAATTTTAACCTAATAAGATCATTAGGCCATTTCATTAGTTTTTGGATGTTTTGTATCATTACTTATTTAGATTTTAAAATTGTGCGGGTTCAAATTATATATAGTAAAAATATGGTGTTTCAAATCATAAATAGTAGAAATATACTGATCTAAATTATACAACATCTTGTAATTTGTTTAAATACTTATTGTACAATTTTCTAATGTACAAAAGATTTTAACAAAGTCAAGAGATTTGAATATTTCAAAATTGCATTTAAAGTAAATTTTATATTTCAAATTTTATATATATATTTCAAATTATTATGTTAGATAATGAAATGCAGTTTTAAGAAAATTTTGGTATAGTTTCCCATGTTAGTGTTATAAACTATGTCCTTTTAATAAAAATAATTATATTAAAAGCATTTATAATATTTTGAATATAAACAAAGGAAGATAATTTTTTTTTCTGTATACAATGTACTCAGTATGTCCATATTAGTCATCCAACAATGACAAAAAAATATTAAATTTAGTTTAAACTATTTATGAATTATTATACATCATAAGTACGAGGTCAAAATAGGTAGACAATATGCATAGTCAAAGTAGATATTATAGCATTTATTTAATGTATCAGTGCATATGAAGATAATTCGCTTATGAAAAAAAAATTATTTAAATAATTTCATCAGCAAATACTCTCTTTTAAACTTTAATCGTGTTGTTTAATAATTCTTAATTAATAAAGAATTTCAGATCAAAGTCTTTTTAAACTTTTTATGAGTAGTATATTTTAATAAAAAAAATATTTCACTTGTTAATTATTATTTTTGTTTCGAACTTGTTTGATCAAAATATGTGAATATAAAACATTTTTAATTTTTATAACACAATAAAGTGTTAGTCAGTTTAAGTATGAATTATTACTTTGAAATTCATATTCAACGAAAACATCATGTTACATTAATATTAATAATAATATCATAGCAAAATAATACAAAATAAAATAATTTTACTCTTAATTCAATTTGTAGAGTTTATTTTATTCTTTTCAAAACGGGAAAAAAATCAATCCTGTGCATTTCATACATATTACATATTCGCTACGTTATACATTAAGTAATATAATCTGCATTATATTGACTAGGTTATATTACATGTAATGTACATACGTTACGTTATATTACATATAACGTTATATTACATATAATGTAGATTTGTATTGTAAAAGAATAATCTAAATTTTACATCAAAGAATTTATCTCGAATCAGCTTCAACAAGATACATAAATAAGTTTTCCACCATCATCATACATCATATGAAATAATTTTGCATAATTCTTATTTTACCATTATTATATTTATAAGTATTTTAAAGCATAAAATTAATTCTATCTTACCGTATGTATGTTTTTCCATTCATCTTCCATATCCCTATCATCAGGAAATTCGCGATGCACTGAGCCTGGAAAAAAGGAATATGAAACGTTGTAATAAATGTGTGAGTAATAAATATAAATTATTTCATAAAATGTGATTGAAAGTTCAGACTTGCTCAAAAAATTACATAACTATTTAAACTTCTTGTTGCATGAAGTTCCTTTAACTCAAGGTATGTGGCAAGCCAAAGAAAGGACCTCGCACATATCTTAGGAAATTTTATTCTCAGTCAAATTGACTAAAGCTTTAATGCGTCGTAGTTCAAAACATTCTGATCAAAAGTTCTCACTGACATAAAATCCGAAAAATGATTGTTCCCCAGATACGAAGCCTCAAACATAAATAATAATTCTCAGTTCTCTAATACCGTCACAATATTAGCATTAATCAATGTGCATGCACAACATTAAGGTTGTCGGATTGTCGATTTAAGAAATTAGATTAAGTAGTTGTAAAAGTTAATATCATTTCAGAAAGTAGCTAACATTTCTTCATCACGTTCACCTTAGTCACTGTTGCACGATGATGGTGCGATTTACGTTGATGGTGCAGTAAATATCTTGATTGATGTAGAACATTTGTGTGGCAGGAGATTTTCAAAAAAAGTCAACAGAAACTTGTTTTACTTTTCGACAGCTAGGAATGCTCAAAACCAAATAGGATATTATCAGACATACTAATTATTTATTTGAATTAATATTAAAGCTGATAGCACGAGCATTTACTAAATCAATTTCAATAAATTTATGATTCATATAAATATTGACTTTTTAGAAGTTATTGTGATTCAAAATTTAGAATCTTACCCACTTAATTAACATTTATCCTCGTGTTCTGTTTCAAACAACATGAAATTTTAAATTGCAAGCTTAGAAGCTTTATTAAAACTATTAATAAACACGTGTTCTACGTATACTGCAAATGTTTTTTAATTGGCACTTGTAAAATGCACTTTATTTTACTGATCAAAACATTCAAATAAACTTTTGATCTGAAAGTGATAAATTTCTTTTGTACGTTAATAAGATGCATTTAAATAATGTTATATAAAACCTATCCAAAATTAAACATTTTATTTGTAAATGTTTCAAGCAAATATAAAACCTAGTTCATTTTGGAATTAAAAATTTCACTGATATAAAGTTTGACGAGAGGGGGACATAGGGTAGTTTCATTGCAAAATCATGTACACCAATGAAATTTGCTTATAAAATCAATCGCTTATTAACATATAAAATTTAATTTTAAATAATGAAAACATTAAAAATCTAACAATTTGACAACTTGAACTCTTTTTTCTACAGGATTTATCTTATAATATGTTTAAAAATTATCCTAAGGGACGTTTGTTTTACAAAAATTACTCGTATCTCAATATAATAATTGTATTTCAAAATGGCAAAATAAATGTATCTCAAAATAGCAAAGTAAATGAGTCTCAAAATAGCAAAACAAATGTATCTTAAAATAGCAAAACAAATGTATCTCAAAATAGCAATGTATCTCAAAATAGCAGAATAAATGTATCTCAAGACAACAAAATAAATGTATCACAAAACAGCAAAATAAATGTATCAAGATAGCAAATTGGACCATAAAAAAAAATTTGTGCTGAATACATTGCATAACATTCGGATGAATAAAAAATGTAAAATAAGAACAATTTGAATCAGACTATAGACAAAGTTAAAAGCCACAGAACTCTGCATTAAATTAAATTAAGAACAGAAATGTTATAGAAATTGATATAAATTCCTTTACAATCATGTATCAAACAAACAACTAAAATTATAATGATGCTTACCGTAGTAAGGTCTGCACAACTCTCTGTCATAGCGATCGTACCTCTCATACCTATCTCTTTCTCGGTCTCTATAGAGGCCTTCTTCGAACCTGAAGTTAAGACTAGGCGGTAAATGATTAGGAGCCCCTGCTGGACTCATTCGAGCTCCTAAAGTAGGACTGGGCAGTGTTTGTTGGCGTTTTGCGGGAGGTGGCCCGTCAGAACTGTTATCTGAGTAACCATTTTCCCTTGATCGTCTAAAAAATTAAGTATTTTTATTAGCATAAATTTCTTTGTTATATTTTTATTATTCTATAACTGCATAATTTAATGTATCCAAAATGCTTTAGCTTAATTTATCGCCAATATATAATAAATATCATATATTGGTGACATAATAATAATATTAGAAAATAATAATTATTATGATATATTCCTTTAATATAAGACTTTTCGTAATACAATTGTATAAGTTGCAATTTATTAAACGCAACTGCAATTACCTATTAGAAATTACGTATTGTATTCGCAATTATATATTATATATTACATTGCACTGATGTAAAAACAAATTAAAAAGTATAAATAAGCAAGTACTAAAAACCCTCAGTTCTTGCTTACATTGTACTGAAACATATAAATGGCTATTTCAGTACTTTGTGATCTCTTTGCTAATTTGATACGATTTAGAAACTGTTTGTAAAACCATATATTTATATTACTTTGTATTGAGTATTTCTTTTTATATTGAAGTAGAAGCTTTATTTGTTATTAATACAGAATTATTTATTTATAAAGTTAAATAAAAAGCAAATTTCATTGAAATATAAGAGTAACTAAAAATTAAAAGGAAAAAAAAAAAGAATTTACTAATCTTACAAATCTTTCAACATCAACTAAATTTGGCTCTGATAATAGACATTTAAAAGGTAATTGATAATCGACATTTAAAAGGCAATTGTAGGTTTTTTCCTTTTTTCAGACTGTGGAAATCAAACACGCCTTTTTATTCAGATAATATTAGCGGGGCAGGAAAGTAATGCTGTTTCGGCGCATTAAATATTCGCTAGTTTTAAAAACCAAATCATTTTTTCCGATCCCTTTCGATTCATTATTGATTTAAAATAAAATCTGAATAACAAATATCAAATGCACCGAAACGACATTACTTTCCGGTCACCCTAATGCAATTTTTTTATATGCAGTTAAATTAATATAGAAGTTCATATTATTGTGCTATTATCCGCAGTACATTGCTATGATATTCTATGTGTGGAAATGCTTAAGACTTTCTCTTCCTCCTTACAGTTTTAACTCCAAGTCTGTATTAGTCACGGTACTTAATTTCAACTAAGAAAATTAAGCCTTATATAATTTTTGGGTTTTCACGAAATGATATTGGGCAAAATATTTCCATTTTCATGATTGTTTATAAGATATCGACGGGAGATTTCAAAGTTGTTCCTTATGCCAGTAATGACACTGTAAAATACTCGGTAAATCTTTAACCAGTATTTGATGCAAAGCTCATTATCCTAAAGCTTAGCTAAATGAAAGAGCATTTTATTTTAGTGACACCAGAAATTGTGAAATATGATGGTAAATATTTCATGGAGCAACTGACGGCACCAAAATTTGATAAAAGACAAAAAACTTTTACGTGACTGTAAAATGAACGATATTTGTTTACAACGCCATGTTTTCTTTGCAACTTGGTTTCGGTGTATCAGGAAGACTTATGCATGTCTTTTTCAAGTATCAACTTATTTAGGTACGTAATAGCTTATTTGACTTAATTAAAGTTCATTTTTTTCATGTTGCCTTTTTAAATTTGGTTGGCGGTATAAAATGTCAGAAAATAACCTACTTAATGCGTTAAATATTTTTGTTACGGTAAATATCTACCTTGGCCTGCACTTGAGAGCTTTAAAAACACCTAATAATTTACCTAATAATACCTAAAAAATTTTGTTTCTTCAAAACAACTATTTTTAGTGCAAGCTTCTACTGATATTTAAAGCTAAGGAAAATACCAAAATATGGTGAAATTGAGTTTCATTTTATGTAGCCAGCAAATTAATTAATTCCAAATTTGCAGTATTTAGGGGGAAAAAATTCTAAATAAAGCACACTATATGTAAGATATTTTGATAAATTGCTTTGATTTTTCTCCGCTGTTAATAGACCAGTTTGAGAAAAAAATTCTCCTAAGTATATTGAGTGCTAGAGGAAGCGTGTTAGAGGAAAACTTTAAGGATATTCTAATGAAAATTCAAATTGTTAACAATAGTACAACTATATGGTATGCTAATAGTATAAAACATTAAGTACTTCTAATAAATCTTTGTATACGTTGGTTCAAGTTATAGAGATAAAAACAAAAATCTCCTGATTTTTTTTTTTTTTTTTTACAATAATCACACATTTTTCACCTTTTAAAAATTCATCAAATAATCTCTTCAATTGTTCCTTCTTACTTATTAGAGTAAAAAATAAAAATTAAAAAAAAATTAAAATGCACCAAGGAGCTACATTACAGATCCTTAATTTATTCACATACGCCATACTGCAAAATATATATTAGTTAAAACGAAAGTTCGGGAAACGTTTGAGTACACATATAAAAGTAGACTGCTGAGTTATAGCATTTTTATAAAAGTATTAAAATCAATGATTATTTTTTACTCACGTTTCAGGTGGTGTTCTTCGTTTTAGAGATTCTTTGGCGTCTGTTTGGAAAATTTCAAATGGTTCCCCGCTTGTATGTGATCCTGTATCAATGATCAGTTGTTCGTGTTGTCTGATGTACTGTTGAGGTGTTTGTTTGGCGATGCGAGAAAAATGAAGCAACTCTGCGTGCAGCAGTGGAAGGTTAGCCTAAAAAGTTTATATTCAATAAGTTAAAAAAGATATTTCGATATTAATGGTATTTAAGGAAGATATTTCAATATTAGAGGTGCTTAAGAAAACTATTTTTTCATAAAATTTATACTTTACTAAAAGCATTTTAAATCAATTCATATCTTTTTATTAAATTATTATTGCTAAATATTTTTAAGAAATTTCAATTGATTATTACAAATACTCCATTATTACTTACTTTTTAATCTATTCTACATGATTGTCAAAAATATTTTCCAATTATTTTTTTAATAGTTTTAAAGAAACTTTAAATTAAAATCAAAATCAATTAAATTAAAATCAAGATTTTATGACAATAATTTCATCAGTATTTTCCAAGAACAAACTTATTGCGCAACACTAACCATTTTGATTTACTTTTTGTATTTAACTCTTAAGAAAATACAATTACAGCTTTCAAATACTGATGACAAAGGATATTTTATTTACCAAAAAGTGTTACAAAAGTGTCAAAGCAATATACAAGGTGTTCCGCAAGGACCACTCTTAATAGATATTTTTAGAATCCCTATCCAAAATCAAAACAAATGGTTTATACATTGGGTGTCACAATTCAACATTTAATCGAGGAAAAAATAAAAGTGGTATCAAAATTTTTCAATAGAGGAAGTACAGTAGGGGAAGGCAGACGTAATAAACATTAAAACAGATTGAAACTTGGAGGCGATTTTAATAATCGTCTTCCAACTCTTCACTGTTTCCTCCCACCATCAAATCTGTCTTGTTGCTGATTACTTGGGACTTCCTGTACTGTGATTTGTCAGATAATACCTTTCTTTTGTCCTTCGATTAAATGTTAATTCACTGCCCCAATGTCCAATGTTAACTACCCCAATGTATTTTTTTTTTCATTTTCATTTTCAAAAAGAATTTATACATTTAATGCATGAAAGTGCATATGAATTGTAATAATAACTATGAATTGTAATATAATTATTGTAATACGCATTATTTATGAATTGCAATAATAACTTAAAATCACAATTTAATCAAATGCTGAATCAGAAAAAAAAAATGAAAAAATACTGAATCCGAAAATAACAGTGGACTTTATGAAACAAAAATATTATTTAAGCATTCCTGATTTAAGTCATTCAAAGTTTAAAAATTTATAGTCAGCTTTGTTTAAATTTATCCATACCTTCAAAAATGGAACGACAAATGGCCTTAATGGATAGTTTGTTAGATCTTGAACTTTTTGATGAAACTCTTCAATTGAAAATGTTGAACTCTGAAAAGAAAATAATTTCATAATCTGGGAAACATATAACCATACACAAAATTGATAGAGTGATAAACTAGTATTTGATTGACGAAAAATATATCATTGTTTAATATCAATAATATTCCTTAGTAAATTGGTGATTCTGTTAGAGAAAAGTTGAAAAGTTGAGGATATACACAAGAAAAATCCTTAGAAAAGCAAAATAGCAACAGATTGATCTGGAAATTAAAAAACGCAAATTGATTGGTCATGTTCTACGTAAACCTGAAAAATTTAAAGTAAAACAAGTTTTTGATTGATAGAACCCTCAGGGCAGTGGAAAAAGTGGAAGACCTAAAAATTCTTGGCACAAGCCGAGTAGAAAACAATAGAAAAGACATAGAAAGAGGCAAATTATCTTGTCACAAATAGAGTGAAATAAAAAGCCATGATAGAGGCAGTATGTTCCAGTTCGGAGTGAAGAGAAATATGAATACGAGAAAAAGCATAAAATATGTCAAATTTAAAATATTTTGAGTTAAATTTTTAATACGCTCTACAACAAGCATAATTAATAAAAATAGAGATGAAACGGACTGATGGACTGAAAATACAAAAATGCAAATTTATCCTTAGAAACTAGAAAGTAAATTTATAATATAAGTCTCTTATGAAATATTTTTAGTCACAAATTAAACTCAAAAACGTTGAAGTTAATGACCGAATTTACCACTGCTTTATATAGCAACTTATGGATAGCATATATGTATCATTATAAATGATAATATTTGCTTTCATGTTATCAGAGCAACAATAACTGATAAAAATTGATTTCTTAAAGACAAATAATTATATATTTCTAGCATTATTGTCGGAAGTAAGAGGCCAAATTTAAGCAAATACCAATGAAAAAATTAAAGAATGTCTTAAAACAAATATTTTGGGCATCAACAACCTAACAATTACTCTTAAAACATATAAAACACAATCTAGCTAGAAAAATAAAGTTGCGAAAGTTAGGCGTGATATTTGGTTTAAAATGCCATACCATCTTATTTGTGGTGAAACAGGAAATTCATTCTCACATTTTTAGAGCATAAATCTCTATACATTAATGATAACTCAAGAATATTAACTTCAAACTACATTATTATTTTGTGTTGTACTTGAACTGAAAAACAACTTTCTCTTAAACTTCTTCTTATACTTATAAGCGAATTTTCTTATTTTTTACATAATTTTTAAGTAAAAATAAATGTCTTTTGCATAAAATGTAAACAGAAAGTTGTGTGAAAAATTACTTGCAGTGTGCTTTCTATAAATGATGTTAATAAACAGGTATATTTATTTTACATAACATAATCATCAAATAAACATACTTTATTTTTATGACCCGCAATAAACGTTGGGCGTATATAGATTTTTGATTCTGAATTTCTGATTCTCATGATTTTAAAAATAAAAAGGAAAGCAAGAGAAATTCTTGATCAAGAACCAAGGTAAATCAACAAATCAAGGTAAGAAGAGAACGAAATGGGGTATAACTACAAATAGAATTAAAAAGAATTGTCAAATGCATATATACTGACTTATTTTATAACCCTTGATATTATACCTTTTATTCTGCAGGGCATATCTTACATGCAAGTAAAAACTTCATTTGCTTCATAATTGAAATGAAGGAAATGTCGATATGCTCCGAGCTCTCGAATGTGACACTCATTGTCAAAGAACCGCGAGGGCTCAAGGGATAGAGAGTTCGCCTCCCAATGAGGCGAACCGGGTTCGAATCCCAGTCGATACGAATTTCGCATCCGGCTTGCAATGACCACAGTGCTGACGTGAAATATCCTCAGCGGTAGATGGATCATGGGTTAAAGTCCCCTTGCCATCAGGCCAATCGTGGGAGGTTCTCGTGGTCTTCCTATTCATGTAACGCAAATGGGTTAGCTCCCTCAAAAAGTGTTCCACGAAGGCAAATGTCTCAGTAGAACATTAGTTCAAACTAAGGTAAATAACGTTTAAGAGCACAAAAAATTTATAAAATGCAGACAGCTGTTTCGGATGCTCAAATTGCAACCTTCATCAGTGCAACAGAAAGAAATGAGAGAAAAACAGGGTAAATATATAGAGAAAGGTGACGTCACAAGGGGGTTAGAGCAACGGCGAATAGGAGGGAAGGGTAAATGGAATTTTTTTTTTTGTGCTCTTAAACGTTGTTTACCTTAGTTTGTATTTCAGCACAAAGGTCGCCCACTTGTGTATTTATTTAGAACATTAGTTGTCGTAAAACAATAAAATTGGGTCGGCTGTTCAACGACGGTTATAAAAACTCATTGTCAAAATGACACCTCGTAAATGATTTAAAAAGAACAAGCCAGGAAAAATGCCATGTCAACAAAAAATAAGCAGAGAAATCAGTAGGGAAAAAAAATGAATTCACTTTAGCAGAGGGGACTATATATTTTTGTCATAAAAATATAGTACCTATAGCTTTCATTTTTTTTTTTTCAAACGGTGCAGTAAAATAGGCTTACCACAAGTCCCAATATCAGAGTGTGCATTCTATCTCCTGTATCAGAGGATATATCTGCTCCAAATTGTTGAAGAGTAGTGAGAAACCTTTTCAATTTATTGAGCGGTCTGACATTAATACCAATGCCAAGTTCGGGTGGTGGACCATTGACAGTTGTTGCCGTTGGGGGTAAATTGACGGATGAGGCTGAGCTTGGTGGGGATGGTGTTCGTCCTGCAGGAGTACTTGAATGAGGCGAATGCGAGCCATTCATACCTACAAAATATTTACAATTGATATTAAAATTATTGGCTCGTCTGTTATTTTTATTAGCTCTCAAATAACAATGTTCGTATTCACGGATAAAATATATGTAAAATTCAGAGTTGCTAAATTATACGATTTTGAACTCTAATTAAAGGCGAAGACAGAACCTGAACTGATATCTCCATCCTAAACTACAGTATTTTTCTCTCAGTTAAGGCTATGTGTGATAAATAATCACCTAACTCTCTTGATTTTAAAAGTTTGATAAAATAAAGAAGGGAATGTGAGTATTGCTTTAACCATTTAGAGTCAGAACGTATCATTAGACGGATTTAATTTTTTATACCGATCACTAATTCATTAAAAAAATATCTATAAACTTCATAATTAAAGTTTTTGGTTGCAAGAATGTACAAAATATTACAATTCACAAGCTTAATAAAAAAGTGATAAGAATACTTTCTTTAGCTAGAAAAATTCATTAAACATTTTTTGAGATAGTCTTAAAAATTATAGAGCATTTCGTGAAGACCATCCTTACCATACGAAAACGTAAATTTAGCCAAATAAATGATTTTTGTGAATTACATATTTACACATGTAATTCACAAGATACATATTTTTTTTATAGCTTGGAACTTTCTTAGCGAATCAAAATATATTTGCTCAATATTACAATTTTTTTTGCTCACTGATAATTCCACATGAATAATAATTTTTAAAAGTTATGTACTGGTTATGGATATAAAAGCAAATTAAAGCATTCTAAATATTGATTTCATACCCAAACTGGTTATGGATATAAAAGTAAATTAAAGCATTCTAAATATTGATTTCATACCCAAACTGGTTATGGATATGAAAGTAAATTAAAGCATTCTAAATATTGATTTCATACCCAAACGTTATTGACCCATGACGAGTTAACTCGACATTATATGTGCAATAACGACTCAACTTATGATCAGTTACCAATGTTAGGGCATGAAAAGAGTTAATTAGTCACCGGTCAACAATGTGTTGAGATTAGTTCTAGTATGATAAAATATGACCAATAGATTAAAAGTTGTTTAGTTTTTCAGTTTGAGCACTGTATACAAAAGCTAATACTCAGGAACAGATTGCAGGTTTAAAGAATAATTATATAAATCCCCTGAATTTATAGTTTGTTGGTTGAGGTTTATTTGCACAAAAGACAAAAAGATCCATATTGCACAAGTCACTAGGATCAAAAATTACTCCAATTTTTTTCGAATTTTTAAACATTGAGCTTCAAAAAACCTGACAAAAATAAACTAACTAATGAATAGATTACCAGCCGCTTATATGTTCGTGAAAAATAACATTTTCGTCTACAAATTCATATTATGTAATACATTTGTTCATATAATACGAATTCGAACCTTTTAAAAAAGGGGGCATTGAATATGTTTTTGCGTAAAAAAATTCCACTTCATTTCTTCTAAAGTAATAAAATCTTTTTTTTAACAAAAAAAATTTGTACATTTCAATATTTAGTTAATTACTTTTTTGCTCAGGTCACATTATTTTGCATGTTATTATTCAACGTCATGAAGTCGACGGGAAAATAAATAACCCTGTTATAAAACGTACAGTTTAACTTGAAATAACTAAAAATTCAAAAAAGCATGGAGCGAAAATGAAAAAAAAAATCTATAATCGTGTGAGATTCCAAGAAAAAGAATAGTCTTACATATCTACTGATAATAACAACTATTCAATTAAATTAATTCAATATTAGAAATAATTAGCTAAACATTGTAAAAAAACTAATTTTAGTCGAATTAGTAAATTAAATAATCTACACTATCGCTTGATAAATGCTTCCAATGTATGGAATGATTTCTTAAGAATAATTTTTTCAGAGAAACTAATTCTTGTGAACGTTTTATGCTTTATTGGACACACCCTAAAAAAATAAGACTAATCCCAAAAATTTTATCTATTCAACTGAAAAATACTAATAAAAGCATTACCAATTCATTAAGTATTAATAATGATTATCTTTTGCAAAATATGTACAAAAGAATCACTGATTTGCAAATATTTGTGAATTAACAGTTATTAATATATTTCACAAAGTACGTTAACAACTTGCAATTAACAACTTGCAATTATTTATAAATTAACAGTTGAAAATATATTTTCATTAAGTATGTATAAAAGAATGATCGATTTGCAATTATTCATAAATTAAATTGTCAAGATTTTTTTCTCCAAAATATGTATAAAAGAATTACCGATTTACAATTATTTATAAATTAACAGTTGTAATGTTTTTTTTCTAACAAAATATAAATAAAAGAGAATTACCGATTTGCAAATATTTATAAAATATCAGTTATAAATATTTTTTTACAAATTTTTTTAAAGCATTACCCATTATTCAACAAAAAAAAAAAATAAACCTCGAGTTTGCGTCAACTTGCAAAAGACCAATAAAAAAGGAAATGAAAACACGATACTTGTCTTAAAACTTTTATTAGAATAAAAAAACACCGCACCCGAATAAGATACTTCAATCACCCAATTTTATTGACTATTGTCTCGCGGTGAACAAATAAAAACAAAAATTCTCTTCTTCTTTAAAGACAAATAATTCCATCCCTAAATCAAAAACAGATGAATATATTCAGAATCGGAATCGGCAATTTGAATCGCGTGACAACGAATCATCGAAGTTGAAAAGGAAGAGAGAGGGGGGAAAGCAAAAATATGTGTGGGAAGTTAGTGCACGTTTTCAAATGGAAAAGTGAATAAAAAATGTGGGAATTAAAATAAAAAGGGAGATTTGTTCTGTTCTTTTCTTCGAAAGAAGAATGAAATTGTCTTGAATGGAATGTACAACTCCATTAAGAGCCGGACGAATTTTGAGCACGAATATGGTTGTTGATTTGCTTCTTTATCGTGTGGGCCTCAACACCTGAAGCAGATTAATATTTCAGTAGAATGAACTGACTGAAGAGCCACGATCGAAGACATTATGGGAGTTTTTTATTTTTCATAGCAATGTTCGGCTTTTGGAGTATTTGGGTTTCTTTAGGTTTGCAAGATAAACTTGCCTGTTATTGTGTTTATGCAATAATTTTTATCGATTACACGTATTTCAGATTGAGATGTTTCATTTTAAGAGTTCATTCTAAAAAATCGGTTTAACATTGATACTTTGAAGAGTACCATAGGGCTGCTTTTTGCAGCGTAATTTCTACTACATCCTCAGCGAACATAAAATTCGACATGAAATTCAGTTGAAGGTTGACATGGACTTCTGATGAATGTGGAGTGTTTTTTTCTTATTCTGAATTTGACATATACATAACCAGCAAGTCTGGATTGAATTGAACATTTACATAAACCAGCTGATTTTTTTAAAATATTCTGGATAATAAGGTATTGCTTTTTAGTCAACATTTTCATAATGAGTAAGCTGTTGATGCTCCTATTTCTCAAAATGACAACAGCAAAATTCATCGGGCTTGGATACATCTTTTTACATCTCATTTGGCCTGCAAATTAACCGGGCATAAAAATGTGTTGGCAGGTTGGGACGGCGGATAAAAGACTGATATCAGTATCTCCGTTATACACAAATAGAGAGCCGCGATGGCTCAAGGGATAGAGCGTTCGCCGTCCAATGAGGTGAACCGGGTTCGAATTCTAGCAATTGCTGGTCGATACAAATCCTCATCGGGCATGAAATATCCTCAGTGGTAGACGAATCATGGGCTAGAGCCCCTTTGCCGCCAAACTAACTGTGGGAGGTTTTCGTGGTATTTCCAGGATAGTGGTTCAACCGGTTCTAATGCGTAACAAACTCTGCTTTGTGTATGTTTGAGGATGTTTAACTGTTAACTTACCTACGTCCCAAAATTATAAGCTAACTAGTTGTCCATTTCGCTTTTTGAGAGATCAAATCCTCAATAAGTAACTTTACCGGAATGCGGTATGCCTAGAAAACTTTGCGGACCCACTTTTTAACCTAATCCAGACGGTTATTAAGTTCAAAAGTGTTGTTACAGAGTAAAAATGGTGCTCTTCGTGACTTTCCTTTTCATTCGGTGAGCTTAGAATAGTGAAAGCTTCGTACAAGCGTTAAATCTTATTTTCATTCACGTTGAATCACAATAACACTTAGCTATTTCAATACTAATTAATTAACACGATAATATAGTTTAAATCGACATCAGTAAATGTCGTGAACCGGTTAACTTTCATAATTTTTAGCCTTAAAATCGAAAATTGTTTTATAAAAGGCCACAATTTGCCTTTATTATACGAAATTTACTTATGTAAAGTTTAATAAGCAGAATTCAAACGAAGCATATGCCAAATGCAAAAATTTAATGTTTAATCTTTTACTACTAAAAAGAGCATAACGCGTACAAATAAAATATTCAAAATTTCTTGTACTTATTTACCTGAACTGACTTTATGAGATGAAACTGGCGCTGAACTTCGCCCGCTAGATGGAGCTGCCAGGTGTTGCTTCACAGCACTGGGTGACTCCGGCATTCTTGCCACGTCGGATGACGTCACATCTAAAACATATTAACTATGTATAGTAATATACACACATTTATTTATAATTCATACAGTTAAATTCTTTCAATCTATGAGCGAAGGCAGATAAAGGCACAATGCTATATTTTAGAAAAGCTATATTTACATTATATGAGTAATCGGAAAAATTAATGTAGTTCTATTGTACGATAGGTTTTAGACTCGAAATTTAACCACAATATTTAATCAGCTGGCGTAAAAGGACAAAATTTTATTTCGGTTCTGCGTGGCTTTCTACAGCTGATATAATAACTTTATTTTTCACATCTTTTTTTTTCCTGATGAATTTGCATCAATGTTTGCCTCAATACTCCTGACAAGTTCCGCTCAAACATTTTCTCGTGCGATTAAATTTTCTAAAGTGATGAAATAAAGTTTTATCTTTATACTCTAGAGTAGTCTAACAGTACTATGATTCAAATTTATAGTCAAGATATTGCGCTAAGAAAGAAACCATGGCTACCTTAAGTCTTTAGGTGTTATATTAAAATATCATGTTATAGTCGCTTAATAAATTTATCACTAAGAATTTTCGACAAATTATCGCCAGGAGCATTGATGCATCTCTCCACAAGAAGCCGTCACAACATTGAGCACTTAAGAAGCTAACAGTAGCTTTTTACCAGACACTATCTCTTTACCTGTCTCTTTACCAGACATCTAACAGATTTTACAATCTAGTTTAAAAGTTTGTGTATTGTGTAAAATTGTAGTTATCATGATGCATTTTCTTTTGGTCTCGCTAATCAGAAACAGTTTCCTTTGTTTTTTTAAACGCAAAAAAACGAAGCCCTTAAACCCTTGAAACGCAAGTTTCGGGAAGGTTAAATGATTTTCATTTTAAAGGTATACTGTATTACCACTGAGACGTTAATGTGCAGGACTGATGATTGATTCCCAGTAGTGGCTTGAATCACACCGGTATTTAAATCGATGGCTATCAGCTTATCTGGAAAATATAAGCGGTTTGTGCGCAATGCTGACAATATTGTTACAATCATATGCCATTGGTCATAAAATTAAGGAGCATTAACCTCCATAACTCCAGGAGGAATGTTGCAGAAATACTTTACCATACTATCGTGTATCTAAAGAAGACAATTTCATAACAGGTTACAATTATAAAGAAATTATGAAATATTTGTATCGTTTTTCCAAACAAGTTTACTCTTTTGTCCTTTTTTTAATATTTACTCTGTAATAAAATGACACATAGGCTTGTTTATAAAACCAAATTATTGTATCGCTTTTGAAAGATTTTTTTTTTGTTCCCACACTTTAAAACACTTAAGCACACAAAATTATTTTAAGAATTGTTTCATTGTAGAAATTATACAAACCGAACACTTTATTTTTCAAAAGTAACAAGACGATTAAAATCTCTTATTTTAAACATTACATTTATATCGTTTACCCTCAGTTTCATGTGATAGTAATTTTCATTTTGAGAAAAAAAATTATTATGAACTCAAAGTATATAATTAAAGTAAAGCTTATAGTTGAAATAAATAATCATATGCATGCTTCGATAACATATCACACACGAACTGACCAACCAGAGAGAAACAAATGAACTGTTACTGTAAGCATATCGATATCCCCAACACTCGCCATCCGGTTTGCCATGTAGTGGACAAGTTGTGGGCGAGTGCTTCAACTCCCACACCTTTGGCGCTAGAATTCACTGATCAATTAATTGAAAGTTTGAGAGAGAGGCAGCTTGAAAACGGGAAATCGAAAAGATGCCGAGTCGATTTCTCCAATACACACCAAAAGCAACTTATTATGGGAACGCAAAATGCTTGAACAGGCGATGGGAAATCTATTGTGTGCTCTGTCCTGCGCGACCGATTCGATTCTGTAATTGCTCACGTGGTATTTCCAATTGATTTTGAAGCCCTATTACATTTGTTTCGGGGGGATAAAATGTTCGGTTAATTTACATCTAGAGTCTAGGTAGTTTTAATCGGGGTATTAGTGGATAGCAATGGTGTTTTTAGAATAAAATTGAATCTAACCATAGAGGTAGGTACAAACGTTATAAATCCTCAGCATCTCAATGCATGAGGAATATCATATATATAAAACTGGTAATTATTTCGCGAAAGTATTTTAATAAAATTTTTTTCAAAATAGTTTGTTTTTAAATATAAGTTAAATATTTATTACTAGAGAAACTGCAAAACAGATTATGAAAAATAAAATTAAGTAATGTTTACTACCCTGCAATTGAAAATTACTTTCCCCCTTTTTAATGCTATCAACCTTAAACTATTATCAGAAAACTAATAAAAAGATTTTTAAAGGGTCTTTCTTTTTTTGCAATGTGTAGCTTATCAGGCAAAAATCTATAGCTAATCATGCCAAATGTACAAAAATCTCTAATTTGAATTTTTTGTCATCTACGTTGTTTTCTCTATAGCACGGCAGTTAAATAGTGAAAATTTACATGCTAAAATGGTAAAACGTGAAATTAAATATGAAATACTAATACTGTAAAAGAAATACATACATTCTTTGGGGTTCGCAATTCAAGTCAAATTAGTGTTTATACTAGTTCGTTTTTTTTCCCTTTTATTTTTGATATAATAAATGAACGCAATCAATGGAATATAATCTAACACGGTAAAAAAGAAATTCTGTCTCCAAATTATTCTTTTCCAAGAAAAATTTAGTCTAGTTTACATTTTTTAAAGATTTATGCTTTGTTAAAATCATTGATTAAATACATTAATTGATGTGTTGTGAGTATGCCCTGGTAGAAATTATTAAAACGAGTATTTTGTAACAGGAACTAAAAATTATCATTATTTTGATGATGAAAATTATCCATTAACTTGGAAAACAGTTTTGAATTCTCTCTGCACACAATCTTGAGTTCGAACATCCGGTAGAGAACCACTTTAATAGCGCAAGTTAATTCTACATTCATAATATTATTATTAGAAATATAGTGAAATTAGAACAACCTAAAAGATTATATTGCACAAAAGAAGTGCCTGAGGACATTAAGCTTATTTTAAAAACGAATTTTAAATCCTCCTCCTCCAATAAAGTGTTATTTTAACACATTTAAGTGCTTTACATCGCATTTTGTACAGACATTTATGAATTACAAATCACTCTTTGAAAGCAATGTTCAAACGATTCCAGAAATATTTAGGAAGAAGAGTTTCTGAATAAATTAGTGAAAAAGAAAAGAAGTAAAGCACAAAACTTCAAAGAAAATAATTATGTCAGACGTAATTCGTTGTCATCCGTAGCGCTAAATTTGTTTAAAACATTTAAAATGGGAATAAACAATGATCATTAAAATAATTCAGTTTATGCACCAAATTATAGTTTAAGGCTCTAATAATTAAATGAACTTGCATTTAAGAATTAAAATAATTTCATACATTTGTCTTTTAATAAAACACCCGTAAAAAAATTAATAATTTTTTTTTCCAATTTTTGCATACATGCCAAATGAAATATATCCAATTACATTTAATATTTATTTCACTTTCAGTTTTCGGTATTGAGCTAAATTATCGCATTTTTTTACTTAAATGCATTAAAAATTGCATATATGTATATATATAATTAATAAAATATGTATAATAAAAATTACATATATATGTATATATAAAATTTTGGAAGTCCACAATACAACTTACTTTTTAACACCTCCTTTGAAAAAGTTTTGTTTAAAACTTATCAAATCAAAATATCGTATAACCATAGCAAAATACAATGTTATATCTATAAATTTCGCTTTGTGCCATTAAAATATATATTTAAAATAATCCATTTTATTACAAAATTTTAACAATTTATTGAATTAGTGCAAATAATGGTATTGAAGTACATGTTATTGAAATAGACTTTTTAGAAACGTTAAGGAAAAACGCAGTAAAAATGAAAGGTAACTCAATTGTCAACAATATTTTATAATCTAAAACTTATTACAAGAACAGAAATTATTTTATGATGTTATTTTATTTCTGGTACTCTTTTAGGCGCAGATTATAATAATTCAAGAAATATATGCTATTTGATTTCATTATGGTTTCACAAAGAAAGTATAACAGAAAGAAGCTTCAAAAATGTACATTGTTTCATATTTGAGTTATATTTTGAATTAAAAAATGTACTGATATTTGAAAATTGAAAATTATTTGTACACTTAATGCCCGCTTGCAAATTATGCATTTACATTCCATATATAAAATTAATAAAAAAATTTATTTTGACAAATAGATAAAATTTTGTTTTTAAATATTGTAAACAAGATTTCTATTATCTTCACAAAATTGTACCGAAACTTTCTGACAAAGAATTTTATTCCTACGTTTTTGTTAACCAACGATTAGATGAAAATATATTACACAAAATTATTAAACAAAAATATATTTATATTAGATAAAAAGTAACTATACAGAAACTAATCTTATAACTCACTTGGAACTTTTAAAATTTAATGATTTAAATATTTAGGAATTTTATAAACATTATACATAATTATTTTTTTTAAATAACAAACTTTCAGTGTGTTTAAAAATGAAATGTTAATTTTTTACCTTCAAATTGCTCTTTTGATATTGATATTTTTTTCTGAAATTAAAATGTTTATAAAATTTTAAAAACGGTAATAAGAAGTTATAATAACATGAAAAAAGTTAAACTTTAACTGATAATAGACAAATATATTATTGTGAATTATTAAATACACTATTATTGTAATATATTTTTATTAATATATATAATATATTTTTTTACATATTTAACATCATAAAAACTACCCGTTCAAAATACCCTACGATTAGGTAAGATAAATTGTTCAGCACAAATTCATTGTTTAAATATCTTCAATTATTATTATAAACTAATTATAATTTTTAAAAACAATTTCTGATATTCGTACACCTCATTTTTAATTTAATGGTTCAAAAACTAAATCTTCTCTACAATAAATGTTATATTTTTCTTTAATTATCGATACGTTCTAAACATCTTATATTATTCAAAATATCATTATTTATAATTTTAATACCCTTTCAACTTTATTCTATTGGTCGTAAACATTCAAACTTAGATGTTTACTAACAGAAATACTAAAGTCTATTTTAAATATTTACTTTTGTATGTAAAATACATTTTAGTTATCTTAAATAAAGGACATAAAATATTGTTTTACAATTATTAATTTTTCTGCAATGCTAAAACAAAAGAAAACATGTCTATAAAAAGTTACAAGGCGAAAAACAAATTGTTCCTTTAATTTTCACAATTTTAATCTTAATTTATCGCAACTAATTTACTATGGCAAAAGCATTTGAGAGATTCATATTAAATGCAGCGTTCCAAGACGATAACTATTCACAAATTATATTATTCACATTAAATGCTCGTTACAACTTTAATCTATTCAATACATTATGCTAACAGCCGAATAAGGATGATATCATATATATATATATATATAAAAGTCTTAGTTATATATATATATATATANTATATATATATATGATGAACGATATAAAAAGTTTCTCAATTTACCGTCACATAGAATCATCGGAATTCCTTTAGATGATGATAAGTACTGAAGAAAGATGATGTAGATACACCACTGGGGAGTTCCGCAGGAAAGCCACCCGACCGGGGAGGATGCGGGTAAATCCTCCCTACTCTCGCTGACACAGCAGATGAACTGAGAAAAACGGAGATCAGCCAACTATTTTGGGTTTACTGGCGTCTCTCTCTCTTACTCGCCAAATAAATGATAGTTTGACGCCAAACGTTAAACGGCTCTGGAGACGAAAGGAGTTGATGTAATCAATAAGAGCGAATACAGATGTTCAGAGATGGATTGCTATATTAAAGCCTTCTCTTTTATATGGAAATAACTCAAATACTTCGTCGAATTATTTATTTTTATTTCAAGCAGTTTTGTCTAGTTAACAATTGTATTTTTCACACAAAAAATTTATTTCACAATTTTAATGAGTTCTATTCTACAAACGTTACATCATTTCACACCATTACAAGCCTAAAGATAAACCAAACAGCAGCATGCTGTGAAACAAGAGTTAATTAATTCACTTCAAATAACTGAACATAGAGCAGATTAATATCATTCTCGATAATGGATTCAAAATTACTGTGATAGGGAAACCTAAAAATACCTTAAAGTCATTAAATGATCAATTTTGATCTGATAAAACAAAAATCAAAGCATTACATGATATACAGTAAAACATTTCATTCTGATTTTTGTAAAACAGTTGATAGTATTATAGTTTCCTGATTTGAAGTTAAAATAGACGAAAATGTTTTATTAAATCTTCATAGTTTATAGGTGAACATTGAAAGAGATAATTCCAGAGTAACACGTGCAAAATAAATTAACAACAGAACGCAAAATTTCCTTTGATTTGTTAAAATAATGAAATTATTTATTTTTCTAATTTTTAAAAAATTACGTTTTCATTAGAGCTTAATTTTCATTCCAAACAAGAGACAGTTTTTCTCCGCCATCTTGAAGGTGAAATTATCATTTAGATTTTAATAAAGTTTATGTAAAAAAAGAAACTGATGATAAAGAAATTCATACAAATAAATCTATTTAAAAATTTGACTATCGATATTTTTACTTACAATAAATTAAAAATTATTTGTTTCAAGGCATATGTTGGAGTTTTTTTATAAAATAAGAAAGATGATATTTATAAAATTTATGATAGAAAATTTATGAGCACTTCAGAAGATTAGTTAAATTAATACAAGTTTACCATATGCAATATTTTAATACAAAAATTAAGAAGATTACATGCATTTTTAAATATAATTTAAACATTTTTCAGTAATTCTTTAAACTTTTTCCCACCCTTTAAACGGTAAAATAAATTTATAAATGTAATCATAAAAACAAGCACCTTGTTCAATAAATACGTTGAAACTAGGTTTCATTAGTTTAAACATGCTAAGTAAACTTTTCATACAATAATACGATTAATTAGCACTTAAAATTTATCGAATATATGAGCTACTATTCTAGAAATTTTTATTTCGCAAAAGAAGACTTTCAAAAATATTGAAAAAAGATGGAACCTTTGAAAAGAGTGATTGAATATGAAGTATTAATGAAACTGTTTTCAGAAATAATAATTTATTACATTTCCTACATTTAATAAGAAGCATAGGCTTTATATGTATGCGCTTTACAAAGTTAACTACGATTTATTTTCATGAAATTAAGTGAAATATTTTCACTTTATAACATTTATTTTTTCTTCTAGGGTAGGTGTTTTTTTTTCTTCTTTTTTCCCCAATTTTATTCTTAACAATAAATCTCTAGAGCAAACACTCCCTACTATAATTCCATTTAAATTTCTCAATCTCCATCACTCTTCTCTAAAAATGATACTTCGCCAAATCTGGCAATCGATTTTTTTTTTCTTTCTCTTCTTTATCCATGCTTTCTATTCCAAAAATCAAAACGATTTTTCATCATCCTGGCACTAGATGGCGCCAGTGACAGGAAAAAAGAAAAGAGATCACAAAATCTAAAAAAAGGAAAAGAGGGGTGGAGAACACAATGACGTTTTGGGGTAGCGGGGGACAACATAACTGCTGGAGGGAGGGGGAGGTGGCAGGCGACACGCTCCCAGCTGGTCCTCTCCTGTGGAAATACGCCAGATGGGCCAACGCAGTCTTGATGAATAAATGCCACCCCACACAGGCGGTACATACTTTTCTCTCCCCCTATCCCAAACGATTTCAGAGCCTCCCCTTCTCCCTTTTTTCCAGTTTTCTTTCCCTCTCCAGCTTCCTGAGAACGTTCCGCCATCATCAAGGTTTGGAGAAATTTTCTCTCTTCCTTCTACTTCGTTCCTTTCTTCTTTCCTTTAGAAACGCAGCTGAATCGGTTCTGTTCTCAAAAGAGTAAAGTGTTTTTTCATTGGTTGCGGAGTTCGTTTTTTTATTATTAATTTTTTTTTTCTTATTTGTTTTCGCGGGGGTGTTGGCGATAAAAGGCTTTTCTGCGAGATAATTAAGAGCGTTTGTAAAGGTGAAAGTAGCCAAAGACTTTAAATGAAATTGCTGCTGCGTTTTCAGTATACACCTTTGTATAATGCCTATAAGCTGCTAGTATGGAAGCTATGAAATTAAACGTCGTTTGATTTAGAATGTATATTATTTAATGAAATTTTTTCACATAAATATATATATATATATATANAGACTTCTTGTGTTCTAGTTACCAGCAAAATCCATCGATATACGACACTCAATTTAATTTCAAAATTTTTCAAATTCAGATTTCGTTGAGATTTCTATAACTTTGATGAACTCCAATATGCGTTTTACAATCTTTTGTAAAAATTGTCCTATTCTATTTTTTATAGTCTTACAATATATAGACAATATTCAGAATAGTTTTACAGTTTCTCATTCTTGCAGGTGTGAAAAAAAAGGCCTAAAAACTATTAGAAGGATTCCAAAAATGAAATCATCATGTTTAAGTTAAGAGTTTTTTATTTTTATTTGGGAGAACATTAAAGAGACTTATTCATTGTTTCAATTAAATTATATTTGAGTTATAGTACAATCGATTAAATTTTTCTAATTCATGAAACTATTTTTACATATAAGTTCAAAACTTTGCTGACTGTGCTAAAATAACTATTATAACAACCTTAAAATAATTAACAAAAAAAAAATTTGGCTAAAATAATTTACTGAAATGACAATGTAAAATCCATGTTCCGTTTTATGTGAAGAAAAAAATTTTTAAAAAATATGAAACATTTAAAAATAAAACAGGGTAAGTTTTAACATTAATATAGCTTTAATATTGGATGTGTTTCGGATTTTTAAATTAACGCAGTGTAAAAGTACATAGAAAAGCAGTGTAAGAAGCTGTTAATATAATCTTTTGAAGCGTAATGTCATTCATAAAGCTTAATTTTAATTAATTGGAAAGAAAGGATTTCTCAATTCGTAGAAAATTTACTTGTGTGTCTGACCAGGAACTATATTTTCTTAATGTATATTTATCGCATTAATATTCTGTAAAAAAAATCCCACGAATAATTTAACACTTATTTTAATTCACTTTCGATATTAAGCATAAAAAAAAACTACGCATACAGTGTCACAATGGCTTTCCTCTTTACCATTCCTTAACTGTTACCAATATTATTTTAAACTTTACAATCCTGGTATTAAAAAAATACCAAATTTTTTTTCTCTAAGCATAAAATCTCAAAAAATTATAATTAAATTAATTTTTGTGAAACATTTACTTACGAATTCGAAAACAATACTTAAGCCCCGCATAATAAAGTTGATCTATCTACCCTATCATACCTGCGATCTTCAAAACATAAGAAACAATGCAAACAAACAATAACAAAGCACGCACATCTTTTTCTATCTCCCTTCACAACGCAGTGCGAGACAGGTGTAATGCCAATCATACAGTTACAACTACAAGCTGACACAGGTGCAAAACAACGGGGTAAGGGCCAGGGAGGAGTCGTACGCTGAAAGGCAGCTGATTTGAGAGCTAGCCCATTGCACCTGCCACGATTTTCTGAGTCATCCTGCATCCCGCTAATAGAACGATTTTTTTTTTTTCACATCCTCCTACCCCCGGTTTCTCGACGTTTATAAATATCTAGTGTCTTACTGAAAGAAAATATGTTTGTATTGTATTTTATTTTTACACCTGCTCAGATGGGAATAAATAAATAAGCAGACTGGTTAATTTATTGGATGAATTGGAATAAAAGATGTTTATATTCCCAATGAAGATATACCTTGTTATTTCACAGGCAGACTTTCTCAATTAAAAAATGAACATAGTATTGTACTTTTGCCACCCCTAGGTTTTCAAAGTTCATATTATTCCTTGTTTTTATCATGGTTTAAAAATTGGCTGTTAAACATGGTTTTTCAGAGCTCGTTCACCAAGGAAAATATATTTTAAAAAAATACAGTTTAAGTGTCTTGCGCTTGCCACAAAATTATAATTTTAAACTATATATGCCATCTTGCTGTAAAGATTGATATGTGTTTTAGCAGGGACGAAGAACAAAAATGTTTAAAAGTTTTTTATACTTTTCAAAAATCTTCAATTTTGGGACATTTTTTCACCTACATAAAAATTATCAAAATTACTGCCTTATTCTCATTTTTTTTTCAAATTTTAATGAGTCCAGATAATGCAGCATTGGAGTAAGTTTTAAAACATAATACCACAAACGGGTTTCGTTTTCTAAAACATGTGACTTTTCTGCATGTTGACGTTTTGCGCCATTTTCAGAATAAATATAGAGGGCTCTGATTAAAGATAGGCTAAAGTTGATCAAACAGACCAGACATATGTAACTGCTTCAAACTCATATCAGTTATGCAAATCGCATATTATGCGCAAAAAAGCATTATTTCAAGCCGTCGAAAACTCGGTATTGCTACTTAGCGTTTACCCTAAGATTTTTAGCAACTGAGCTCTTTGAACAGTTAACACTTGACTCATTCATAACCGTACCTGATTGCTTTCCTGCGTAACGAATTGCTTTCTACTGGTGATATTTAATGAGGGAAAATGAAACACATAAGCGAAGATTTTATACAAATTGCCTCACGATGTAAGAGATTTTCTGTTTCAGAAGAAAAAAGAGATGGCGTCTATGTTTAAAGTTTCAAATGAAATTTGCCTGTTTGAATAGAATGATTTAATTTTTAACAATAAAATTATAAATTCAGAAAATTTTATTCTATATCAAAATAAATATTTTTATTTGACCTTCAAAACAGTATAGAGTTTAGTATAATTGCAAGCATGCTTAAGATATTTTTTTCCTAACACCGGCAATAAAGCGCATTCGTTTTTGGATATTTATAATTTGAAATTTGTAATAATCAAAACTTTATAAGTTAGAGTAGAATGTGTCTCTTTTATTTTATAAAAAAGAAAAAAGGATTCATTAACTCAGATTGCGTGGAAACTATGATGTATTTGCCGGCTATTATTTTGTAACTTATTATAGAAGTTTAGTAAAACATTCTAAATAAAATCCGATAACTTTTATTTATATTGAGTGAAATGAAATTACCTTACATACCGGAATATGTCAACTTTTAAAACCCTCAAAATTTTACGAAAATGAAGGGGTCTGCTTATACACTCGCAATAAAGTCGGTCATTCGTTGATCATGCAATATCCGTGCACTGACAACAATGAGATAGTTATAAATAACTCTGCATCATTTTTACGCCTTTCAAAAACAATTTTCAGTAGGTTTTATATAATTAATTCATTATATCTTTCATCCTATCTTCTTTACATAGAAATTTTTTTTCTCTTCTTAAATTACAAACATAAATAAAATTAAGAATTAGAAAAGTTAAGATCATTTATTTGAGAGTATTTCAAAACTTATAACACAATGAAAACTTTTAAAACATAAACCATAAAGCTACAAATTTAAAAATTCTAGAAGATATCATGCGTGTAAAATTCAACAACGTTATTCATTTCTACTTGAGGGCAAAGGCATCATGTCAAGAGAGAAAAATGTGAGATATTTTTAACTTATGAAAAATTTTATAGACATATATAATTTTTTATGTTTTTTTTTAAATTTTTGGAATTTATATATATATTAGAGGTCGACTTACATACCCGACGTACCGAAAATTTGCTATTTTGTAACCAAAGATAGGGGGCAGACTTATATACCGAGATATAGAATAAACTTTGAAATATTCTATATCACTCTGAGTTTCATAAATGTATCTAGATAATACGAGTGCAATGACGAGTTAACTCGTAATAAATATTACTGTAGTACAACCTTTGCATTGAATGTTTGCCGCTGATATATCATATCTCAATTACTTACATAGTGTTTGAATCATATTTTTTGTAATTCATTGCATTCCTTTCATCATCAGAAAACATACGTTTATGACATACTCTTTAAGATTGTCGATAAAATAAGACAAAAATGTATTATAAAAATTTTAAAAATGAATTTAAGTATTCTTTCAAATACTAAAAGTATGTTAGCTCAAATTAATATTTTCGTATTGGAGTTATTGGCAGTTTTACTACAAAAGGAAATTTGCGAAGATCAGTTATGAATTCTTATGTTTGAAGCGATATTTTGATTAAACAATTATCGCTATTTAAAATAAAAACATATTTTCGTCCATTGTTTTGGTCTAACACAGCTTTTTATTGTTTTGGTGCATTTTTATTAGGCAGAAAATCACATTCAAGGATACAGTTTTCCCTCATTAGCAGCAGCGAACAGATTTTCTACAGAGAAAATTTTTTTTAATGTTTGTATAATGTTTGTAACAATGTATCTTTTAGTTTTTATCAGGATTCGATACTTGCTCCACTGGTTTGATACTTTAATAAAACATTAAATACACAAATCGTTAACGTTTTGTTTTGAGGGTCCATGATGTAATGTTTTCCTTTTATAGAATTCTAAAACGAGGATCTTTATGTAAGATTAGTTACAATGGGAAAGTTTATTTAAAAATAAATATTGATTTTTTGAAAAACCAGGAAAATATCAAAGTTCTTAAATATCGCGTGATTGCTAAAGATTTTTGCCTGATCATAGCTGCTTAAAAAAGCGTTGTTTTGAGCAGCCAATTAATAATTGTATATAAAAACTGTGATTCTTAATTTAATATTGAAATACAAGCAAAAGGCTTGCACTCTAAAAAATTTTATATCAAGTTATGGTAAAAAGTACCGATAGTCAAGTTGATGTAACTTTTTAACCGTAAAATTCATTGCTACGAAACAAAAATCTGATTTACCGTTATTTTTACAGTAATAATTACCTTAAAATCACGGAATCTCTCTAATTATATCAATATTACTCTCTAATTATATCAATATATCAATATCAATAAACATTTCTGATGCAAAAACGTTTGTCACAACTGAACTTTTTTTTTAGTTGGATACATAATTGCATAAAATTTATTAATATTTACATTGCATAATTGCATTGCATATAAGAGTTAAAAAGAATCTGAAAACGTATACCTTAGGCATGATGAAAAGACCCAGTACACTCTACACTCGTTAGAATCGTACGTATCGAATAGCTTTGCTATATATATATATATATGAATAATTTAATTGATGAATAATTTCATTTTTTTTGTTGTTGATAAAAATGAGTTGCATTTTTAAGATATTGAAAGAGAAATTCATAATTCTAATAACCTAATTACGATCTCAAATTTCAAAATTTTCTAACCTTGATATTTAAGAAGGTAGTTTTAATAACAAATACCGCTCAATAACTTCATCAGAACTATCGTTTTTTTTTTTTTTTTTTTTTTTTTTTTTTTTTTTTTTNTTTTTTTTTTTTTTACAAAAAAAACTAGAAAAGGTAAACTTTTGGGGAATATATACACTTATTAAGGGAAAGAGGCACATTTCATTACACACTTTAGCATACGCAACCGAATTTTGTCTTAAATCTTAGTTATTAAATTTTATCTTAGTTATTAAATTATCTCACTTTTTGACCCGATAACCACACCGCACACTCGGGGCATTTAATTGGTGGTTAATCCGAAAATCCAGATCATATTTAAACCATTCATTTGGTAATTTTTCTGCTCACATCGTAATTGTTTACCAAATATTGTCTTCAAAATTATAGTTTTTTTTTTTTTACTACACAGTACTTAGTAAAAAGATTACTATTCAGTAAATAGTACAACGCATTTACTGATAAGTAAATTTAAGTAAATAAATGACTTGTTCTAAGGCATCATGATAAAGTATCCAAATTTTACCGCATTAACCAAATTTAATCACAAATTATAAAACCATATTTAAATGCTAAATTTTACCAAAATCATTTCCAAAACACTTCGATGAAACTTACCGGGCTTTTTAATATTCCCATTGAGCCAGAAATACGATGAATGTTACTATATTCTGGTTGTTTTGGTCATACTTTTTTTCTCATTGAAATAGGATTAACCTTTTTGTATTTTGCATGCTTTTGATAATTAATTTTTAAAATAAGAAATGTAAAAAAAAAAAATAGAGTTGTATTAAAAGTTATGACTGTTGTTATATCAAAGTATCTAAAGAATTTATTTCATGCCCTATAATTGATCACAAGTTCGTGAATCAAAAACTAAATATCAAAATTGATTACTGAACATGACTAGTTAACTATTAATATCAGCATCAATTGATTTTATCAAATGTAGAGAAATTTAAACTTTTTATTTGCGATTTTAAGGTAACGAATTCACTAAAAAGGATAAATCGGGAAAAATGACCTATACCATTATTCTGTTAACGAAATATCCCGACATAGCCCCATTGGACGCCATCTTGTGACGTCATAGCAGAGACGTAACAGCTGGTCAGACCCTCGGCATGCTTGTAGCAGGTGGTATTGATGCATAACGTACTTTATGGCAGCAAAAGTAAAGGGGAAAAAATCCTTTAAAAAAAAAAGTAGAATAAAAATGGAGGAAAAAAATACGAAACTTCTTACTTGAAACCCTGCCACCACTATTGAAGCGTGTTTTCTGATATATTAGCCGTCTAAAACTAATAATAAAAAAACAGGAAAGCTACGTAATATTTCGAACGACGTTTTTCTTTACTGAATTTATATTTGAATGAAAAACAGACATAAATTGTATAACTGACAATTTGGATATTGATTGCATCGATCCTAAAACGTATAAAGTTTTTGAAAGTATCCAAAAAAATTTTGTTGCAATTTTTAGTTAAGGCTTTAATATTATCTGTTGCTTGGTTAAATGCAATTTAACATCTTAGAATTTGTCAGTAAATTAGATTTGTTTATTATATCTGCTAATCTATAATGTAAAGACGTACGAAAAGCTAAATGTAAAATTTAAATAATACAAGTAATGTT